TGACCAATCCCAATCACGCTCGTCTCGATCTGTTGCAAGTCAGCCACGATACAGACATAGGCCAACACAGCCGACTCGATTATAGAAAAGAACGTCTCTCCCTTCGGCTTTCCGAAGGGGGAACGCTCTTCCATCCTTCGCCCCACATCAGCGATGTTGAAAAGCGATTGGACTATGCGCAATCCCATTTGCATTACGTGACATAGTCCGTTTCCATCGGAAGGCGAATTAACGCAAACAGTGTACACACCAGCCCTTACGGTTACGTAGCGGTGAGCGGACAGCGTATGTTTTCACGTGAATAAATCAGTGTGTCAGTCCAAACTAGAATTTTCCCTATTTACCGTCACTTTACGCGCTCATTTTATAATCCACATTCGAGTCATCCTACGGGACCTGTCAAGTATTGCTATTTTGCTGGTTATAAAGCAGTGTTCGAGGAACTTGGTAATTCTGTTGCAAACGTTTCGTCATTTCATCGGTGTCTAGTTGAGTGACATGCAGTAGCATAGAGTAGAGTAGCGGATCCTCGGTAAGAGTGCACTGAGAGTTGTGTGCGCGTTTTTATACCGTCGTGGTTGCCCGAGGAGACGAGAAATCCTATTGGTTGGGACTTCGATCCGCGTTCAGCTAGTTTGATCGGCAGATGACCATTGACTTTGACCCCTCCGACTTGTGTTTCATGACCTTTGTCTGTTTGTTCTCGTGGGCGAGTTCGTCATCAGTTCTGGTTGTCTAGTAACACGTTCCTCCGGATTCCATCGATCAAGCTGGCGGTAGTTCGCCCGTGTTGTGTATGCTGCGTCCAGTTCGACGTGTCAATTGATTGAATTCGCTGTAGAGTACCAGGTTTCCAAAAACTCCCTAGCGTGTTTTATAATTCCGTGTGCTAGGATCCTTACATTCTCCAGATGGAAATAGTATCCTTCTTGATGTTCCTGCGCAGAAACCAAAGAGTGCGGACCATATCTACTGACGGTCGCCTTGTGTTCGGGGATTCTCGTACAAAGCTTTCTTCCAGTTTGTCCGACGTAGGTTTTATCTTTGTCCACACGCAGAACTCGAACGTGATATCAGACAATTGAAATTGAACAAGGCCACAGGAACAGATGGACATTCACATCCCTCTTCAAATTCCGGTTGGGGGCCTGTTGTTTTTGATTCTTTGCACAATTGACGAGTAAAGGTGTGCGAGCAGGAGACTGTTCCAGCAGACTGAAGCCGCTCCATTATAGTCCCAATTTTCAAGTATGGCTCACGTCCGGATTGTGACTACCACAGAGGGATAAGTCTGGTCTCAATTTCCTCAACTTACTTGCCTCTTCGTCCTCCGTAGAATGACTGGCACTCGGGCAAGTCAGATTCGCTAAAAGCAAGCCGAATTTCGCCGAAATCGAGGCTGTATTGACCACTTCTTCGTATTACGCCGATTGTTGTAATAACGATATATCAATTGGTGACCCACCGTAAGCATGTTCCTCCGTATCAAACGTGACTTCGATTCGATGGTTCGATGTGCTATTTGGGCTTGTCTGCACAGGAAAGGTGTGCCCGATAAATACATAAACCTTATTAAAGCTCTGTATGCGCATACTTCAGGTAGATTGAGGGTTTATGAGAAACTATTGCCAAACTTCAATTTTTCCAGCGGTGTGAGACAAGGTTGCCCGCCAGCACCTTTCCTCCTAAACTTCGCCATTGCCGCAGTCATGCAAATGACATTCACTGGACACGAGTTAGGTCTGTAGCTGCTTTCACGTGATCGATTTTTGACTTGTAGTAGGTCGACAACATTGTCTTAATCTACGACAGCTTCCAAAATTGCCAAGCTGCACTGGACAGAGTAACACTGGCTGTCAGTCGTTTCGGGCTACGTTTTACATACTCGAAATGCAAAGTCCGCCTCCAAGGTTGTCAGGAGCCTACTCCTACGCTAACCCTTGTTGGGGATCAGCTAGCAGACTCCAGAAATTTAGGTACCTTGGAGGCTACATTATCATCGGTTGTATAGAATATGAGATCACTCCACATATAGTACAAGCCCGTGACGCCTTTGCCAATCTCTGCCACCCATGGAGTCCGCGTGACATCAGTCTTGCCCTGAAGAGCAGAGTTTACAATGCAACCGTCTGTTCAACCCTGTACGGTTGTGATACCTGACACTTCAGGTCGACAGACAAAGAGGATTAATCCTTTTGACCACCAATTTCTTCGCAGTTTGGTTCAGATCGGATGAGAACACCGCGTAAGCAAGGAGCGTGTTCGGAGACGTGTAGTTTATGCAGAAAGAGTAACCGAATTGCTCAGCCCCATCATATTACGCACTATGCTCCGATAGTTGGGACTTGTGTTGCGTACGCCATCAGACCGAATCCTGTGATATACATTGTCTGTGCGACCTGGGTGTGGATGGAAAAAGAAGAAGACACACCAACCGATGACTTAGTCGAGAGGAATGAAGGCCTTCACTTCGAAGTTGATGTCGGTTGTTACATCCCGCCTGTAGGGCTGGGGTCCGAAGGACGATGGACACTTTTGGCTGGATACACTTGTTGATTTGGCGAGAAGCCGACCTCGGTGTCTTTTTGTTGCGAGGTTCTTTGTCCCCCTTCCGCTTAGCTTTCTCTCCAATAACCATATCACACTATAGGGGTAATAGCACACCTAGCATAATATTACTTGCTTTTTAGTCTTTTATATTATACAGTGTTTCGTATTTCGCTCTCCATATATCTTATCTTCTGTGTTGCAAAAATTTAGCTGAAGTTTTTCTCATCCTCAGCTAATGTGTAATAATGATGATGCTATGGTTGACAAGAGAAATCTTGAACGTTAAGTGATCAGAACTGCTAGTCGTGGCCCAATGGTATAGGGAGAACCACTTCACGTTATTAGTGAACACCAGATTCATGGTTGCATCTGATCTTGCGGGTGAATTTAATATATTCATAATCCGAGAGTGGTACCAAACTTGGTATCAAATCTGTTAAAGTCACTGGCGAAGGTGCATACAGAACAGTCGGCAGGCTTAATGACGGTCGCCGTTACTTCCTCATACAAGGTCTCTACTTCAACTTTGGAACGTATGGCAAACGTAAATGCTAGCCAAAAAAACTGAGCGGTTCCCAATCTGATACCTCAGTTTGCATTGTAAGACCAAGAGAAACGAATGATGCGGTTCGTTGCAATACACGAAGAAAGATTGGTGCAAATATGGGCGGTCGACCCGATAGCAAATAAACCCTTCAGCCGACACAACAGCATCCATCACTTCTTCGTGGATCCAAGTTTCTTGCGATAAAGTGATGCTTAGTTGCAAAATTTCTGTCATAGATGGTGTAGGATAATTTAGCCGACTTTCAGAGCGAACAGTTGTTAACGCTTAACATTACGGGCACCCTTAAACCTCGCAGTTGGTTAGTTCGAACCGCAACCCTTTAAGCGCCGCGATGTTTTATGGAACTTCCTACATATTAGTCGTACTCTATTTCTCATAACGCGATCAATAGCAAATGCACAAGCATCGACCCAGAGATGTCAAAATATCGCATTTATGAATTGGCACCGCATGAATTACAGGTGAAGAACAAAACTAGAGTTTTGGCAAAAAATAAAAAGGCCGTCTTGTGACAAGTCCTTCGCCATATATCACGACTTCCGAGGACATTCAAGACGTTCTTTTGTTACCACCTTTGTTCTCTACTACGTCAGATACATACCTGCTCCCATTGAAGTCATTTTGCCAAAAGGTGCTAAGGACGTCATCACCGGTGTAAATCATCCAACCCCAGTATGGTCAACAAAGCTGTGGTTGTAATATTGCAGTTGTCTGGATGAATAAGTGCAATGGGTGAAGTTCCCTTGGTTGAGGATGAACGCATACAAATGTAATGACCTCGTGTTTTCACTTTATAAAGCAACTTGTCAGCAGAAACGTAGCATGGAGAGTACCAACCTTCAGGTTGTTGATGATAGCTTAGGCTTCTGTACGTCATTAATTAGCTTGGAGTCACAGGATTTCTCTTGGTCACTCCATGTGAATAAAATAATCACCGAAGTCAGGCGACTTAGGTTTTATGTTGCTCGATTGTGATCATCTTTCATATTATACCATTTCATTCTGAAGCTCATAACACGTGTAATCTACTACACTATACTTATTGCTCTTCTGTGATTTTTCTAGACCCATTGTGTAAGACTTACAGGCTGCTTTACAAGTGGCTGCAATGGCATTCCAAAGCCAAATTTGGCTCAAACAATTGTACCTACGCACGTTAATTGGTGTAATAAACTTAGTTCCAAAATACTCACCGACTTTTGCCGTCCTCTACACAGCATACACTAATGTACTCTCATCAGTTCTTCCAGTACGATCCCTTAGCGGCCATCGCAAGGTACAGTCTCCTAGTCTGTTACGAACGCACTAATAATTTAAATTCAACCCCCTCTAGAGGCGGTAAGTATTCATAGAGCAAATTTAGCTGCAACGATCCCTCCGCTAGCGAGACTAAGGGACTCATTCCGATAGGGTGTGTACTTCGGTTGCCGTTCAGGCCAATGGGACTAACTACCAGGAAGTGGATATAACTTGTGCCGCCATACTCACTGACTCACAACTCCCATTTACTGCTTGAATTGACGTTAGACGGATGAGACTATTGCTCAAGTGTACTGGATTTATTTAAAACTAAACTGATTTTCATCACAGTATCCTGTGTGACATTTTAGACTCAGCGCATTAATCGCGCTGATCTCGACTAAGAGTTACTACTGCAATTTTTGTTAAAAATCCGAGGTTCATTCAGAAATGGCACAGTCTAAGACACTGAAGTTATTTGGCAAACTTCTATCTTAGTTTCGTTGTTCAACTGGGTTTACCGTTGAAACTATAAGAATACAGAGTCGACTCGATAGAGTAATTATACAACGTGAGCAATCTTGGGACAATGGAAAACGGGTCATCGGGATTAGCACCGTGTATGCATTAGACTATCTCTTACCTCCATCGTGTGAGGCGCATGCTTTATCGGATTGTTCTCCGTGCTCCATTCCCCTCGGGCAACTTTCTCGATTTCTTGCCTTATACCGATTAGCGCGTCACACAGTCGATCACACTCGGCCTTTGATTCGCTCTCCGTCGGTTCGATCATAAGACCCGACGAGACAGGCCAAGACATGGTTGGTCCGTGGAAACCTAGAAAAAGATGAGCCTTATTTGATGGAGTCACTCAGCTAAGTTCTGTTGCACACGTATTGCTGCCTCTTGGTTCTTTATGCACACCGTTACTATGTTGTTATTTGCAGTCAACAGTGGGGCAAAATTCACCAGAGTGAGCACAAAAGAAGTGAGAATGTTTCAAGTAACAAAGGCCTATCCGCTGATGCATAACTCACACTTATAGGTTTGGATTGGAATAAAGTGTCAGAACAGTTGCAAAAACCTGTACCGTTTTTGCCTCGATACTGGTTTTGCGAAGGGCATTTACTCACATTACTTATGATACTGCTTGCAATGTATAAAACGCTTATCTGTTTCACTCAGCCTAACTTTCGGAGATGTCCTGAACCATCGACTACCAGTAAGCTCATGTTCCACGCATCGTAGTCAAGTTGACAACATTGTTGATACCATTACGGGAACGTTGAGCTTGAAATGAAACAGCAACGATGATGGTGTGAGGGTCACATACCAGCTACAAAGTGTTATTTTCGTAGTACAGCTGGTGAACGACAACGCATTTGTGACAGTTGAGAAAATCCAAACCAATTAGTGCCGGAACTGAACGTGGGCCTTTGAAAACGAATGCACAGAAAATCCAGAATGGATCGACGTTCACCACAACAATTCAAAGCCAATGCAAGTAGAAACTGCGGAATTACTATGCAAAATATTAATAATCAAAAAACCAAATTGTAATGGTATCGTTATAACAACGGAGAAGAAACAGATCCTGGGACAGATCGACGAGGGTCCGCGTTGATTCAGCTGTGACAGGTAAGTGAGATCACACCAAAGCAACTAGACGATTGAACTTCAGCGGGAATCAAGACGGATACTTTGGGAAAGCGAGGATTGGATAATCAAACCAGACCACAAAACAAAATAGTCGAACATGCAAATCGAAGCTGGCGCACACGTGCAATCAAGAGAGCTTATAAGAACAAGATGATAGTTAAGTTGTGTCGGGTGAGATACATTGAAAACACGAACTTCAAACTAATTTGGGGGATGAGTTGTCACTTATACTCGATAAACTGAGTGCTCGAGATCACGGACAGACGAAATGCATGTGTAACGTATGCATAAACACGTGTAGCAGTAGCCTTTCAGTCGGTTTATTTGTATGCTCTCTATAGTTAATGTACTCAGCGAGTATGAGAAGGCCAGATGCGGGCCAAGTGACTTACTGACCGCTTACAGGGTCTTTCTCTACTGCGACACCACGTATTCAACACACTAAGGAAGGAACACGTAATAATCGTAGCGCATCCAGATGCCAACAACTGTGAGGCAGTACTAAAAAGTAGTGAATTTGTCATTGTGATGACTGCGCTGTAACATTGTCCACTGCATGTCAGATACCATGGTTTTGACTGTCATGGTATGACACATTAGACTTGTTGCATTCATATTGCTACGTTCACACTTCGCTTCGCGATACGATCCCAAAATACAAAATTGGCGCAGAGGTGCAACTAAGGAATAGTAAGCTCATCCATCGCAGCAGAAAATGTTTTATCTATCTAAATTGACTATAACATGTGCTGTTATTTTGAAACTTGGAACTACGGCGTGCAAAGTGTTCATCGCACTCAGCTGAGGCCACTTATACAGAAATATGTGACATTTTGAATGTTAATATTTAACAATGAAACAATGAAATAATACTGAGAAAAATGATTGACTGGTCCTGTTGGATGAACTGTGCAAAATCCACAAGTTCAAACGCGTGAAAATAAAGTGAAACGCGCATATCTAAACTCAACGTATTATCCGCGTAAATCACAAGTAAATCCGTTTACCACAATTTCTTAGGGGTTAGTTAGCACACTGTTTGTCTGGATCTTGTCAGCACTTGATGAACAGAAGTCAAATCAAGTAGTGAAGACGATGTAATGCATAGTCAACTCGTTTATAAAAATGGGTAGCGTGGGCGCAGAAATGACAAAGTCGTAAGACTGACAATCTCGAAGGGAACAATGATTCCGGCGGCATTCTAGCCAACTGTACTGGGTGCCCAGTTTCAGCTTGTGACCCCTCAATTTTCTGTTGCGGCTGAGTTTCAGGTGGTGGTGGCAAGCGCAACCGCGGTTTTTCAAGGGCTGGTACGTCAGAATGTAATCGAGACACAGACCGCGAAAACTTCCGCTGTACACTCCCAGGGCTTTCAACCGGAGACGGAATGATAGCTAGAGAAACAACTTCACATTTTTGGTTCCCCTTCGCAGTGACGTCTTTAGTACAACCAGATCGCGTTGTATCCAGGTTTTCCAAGCCTGAATCGCATGCTTTATATGGGGCCTCACATACGCATTCAGCAGTTGGGGGATGGAGAGTTTGAACCGCCAGAACGTCCTTCGTAAGAGGCTAACATGTCATTTCTTGATTTTGAGGCCTTCAAGCATTGCGCCGAAAAGCCGAGGTCGTCTTACATCGACACCCCAATGTCGAGTAACAAGTTCCCTTTTTTGGAGGTGGAGGTCACCAGGAATATCAACGAATCTCGGCGAACGTGCGTATATCGGAAGAAGGCGCTTACGGACCAGGTATTAAACTACCACAGCAACCACCCGATAAAATCGCAAGAAGTGCTGCATTCAAACCCTGTTCGATAGAGCGGAAACGCAATGTAGTACAGGCGAATCACGGAAACAGGAAGAAAAGCACCTATTTTGAGTGTTTAGAAATAACGGTTACCCGAGACATTTCATCAGACGAAGCTAAAAGAAACGAATGTCTCAACAACAGCATCAGGAGTCACCTGAGCGAGCAAACAAACGAATAGTGCTCCTCTACATCAAATACCTCTCCGAACTAACAGGAAGATTGCCGCAGTCACATGGAACCTCCGGGGTTCACAAACCAAGTGACACCCTGAGGAAATTGATCTCAGAACCCAAATAAAAAGTCAATCAAGTTGATCAATGCAATGTCATCTACCAGATAAACTGCAGTGAGTGTGATAGACACTACGTAGGACAAACTGGAAGAAAGTTTTGTACACCAATCACCGAACACAAGGCGGCCGTCAGAAGACATAACCCGCATTCATTGGTTTCTGCTCATGAAGATCAAGAAGGGTACCATTTCCAGCTAGAGTATGTAAAGTTCCTAGCACATGGAATTACAAAACACGCGAGGAAGTTTTTGGAAACCTGGTACTCTACAACGAATTCAGTGAATCGACACATCGAACTGGACGCAGTATACGCAATACTACTGGTGAACTACCGCCAGCTCGATGGATTGAATCCAACGTAACGTTTGACTAGACAACCAGAACTGACGACGGACTCGCTCACAAGAGCAAACAAACAAAGACCACGTAACACAAGCGGGTCAAGGTCAGGGGTTCTCCCTCTAGAAACCACGCTGAACGCGGATCGAAGTCCCACCTAATAGGATTGCTCGGTATACAAACACAGGCACGCCACTCTCAGCGCGTTCTCACCGTGGCTCCGGTACGCTACCGCATGCCACTCAACAAGGCACTGGTGAAGTCACCTCGATTGGTGACGGAACATTTGCAAAAAAAATTGCCATGCTCAGCGATTGCTGCCTTTCTTGAAGTTCGAGCTAATATTGCCATGTTTCCTCCAGCTATGAACCTGCCATTCATCCAGGCATCTTTACAAAATTGTGTTAATGCTGAGTTATTCTCGTAGCTGCTATCTGCAATGCTTTCGGCGGAGTTTTGTCAGGATCGGGGAACAAGGATTGCGGAATTATAGGAATTTCCTATAAATTCTCACTGAACAACGGTGAGGTGTGTAGATACATGCGGCTGTTGAAATAACGCAACTGTGGGACATATGCTGATGACACGTTGGAATATTGGGTCATATTGCAGCCGTTGAACCTTGGTTGCATCCTCGTTTATTGGAGCACCTCAATTTAGTAACTAGCGGGGGAAAACTATCATTCACATACTGGAGCTTATTCAAATGTTTATACAGAAGCTTTTTGTCTGCACAAAACATTTCGCTAGGGTATGCTCTTGTATTTACTTGTCCTCACGAAAAAGTGTGTTACAGAGATTATCCTACACAACACGGTTGCTCAGTTGTCAGTGTTAGGGCTACCAATGTACACACGCAAGGCTGCGTATCCTACAGCCATTCCTTATCTGATTCCGCTTCTAATGAATGTTTGTGCTCTTGCAAAATAAAGCTGTCCGTCTTCTGATACCGATTTAATTAGATCACCACTTGCCCGCAAACTCCATCCAGGCATTATCCAAAGGATAGCTGTCTCTAAACATATCTGAAGGTCCGTACAACAACTTTTGTTCGTATGTAGTAATTAGTGACTGTTCGAGAGAATTCAACGAGCTGACCTCATTCAACAGCGGTTAGACTGACAACCTCTATGCAGATTCGTTCGCAGAGCCAACAGTTACCTTTCACGGTGATGCTTAAGGAATACGGGGTGAATGTGAACGAGATGGTAATTTGAGAATAGCCCACGCGGTTTCATATTTCTATCGTGTTCATCGGCGTACAGACGCTGGCTTGGGATGTGTGCTTCTAAACAATAACATACCGGTCACAAACAGAGGAAAGAAAGATAACCCCTAGCGTTGTGGCACAGAGTTCACCACGCGTTGGATTGTTTACCCACTAATAGGCAACGTGAGTTGGGTTTCGACTGTCCTCAGACCGATTTGTTTTCCCCTAATAACGCGTACAATGACACAGGGAAGTAGAAACTTGCCTTTTCTGTGCTAATCCTGATTAGTACGTGGGGAACCGCAGATTCAGACATTTTGTATATGTGTCTGGTCGAAAAGCAAATAGTGCAAAGCTACTGTCTGAGGAATTAGGACTGAACGCCTCTAAGTCTGAATCCCGTCCAAGTCTGCAGCGTTGCACTCTGTGTCTATCACGTGGCAAGGCAAGCTTACGTATTCCTGCGAGCACTTGAACTCGGCTATGTGCTCCGCCATGGCTGGTCGGTCCGGTGTAATGCCAGAG